TCCATTTCCTTATCTAAAAGTTAAATCACCAGGTACCTTTCTTCATCAGTCTATTCATGAGACATAATTAGACAGAGATACAGTGCTTAGCCCTTATCACTTTCTGTTGGCCATGTAAGATCCTATGCCTGCCATGTTTTAATGTATGTGAGGCTGTCCAGGGGCAACGGTAAATTTAAGATGTCAGATTTGACCTAAGTCGTTGGTGGCAGCTTCGCACACCTGAAAACTTGTAGCACTCCTTGGCGGAAGAATAATTACCTCCAGATGGAATGGTTCTGGGATCCATAGAGAAGACGTTACTGGACAGGTTCCAAAAATAAAAGGAGGAGGAGAAGGAGGAGGAGGAGAAGAAGAAGCCACTCACTGTCATAAAAACCTAATTCAAGATGTGGTAGGAAAGACCAAAGGCTGGGCTGCTTGCTCCAGCATGGATGGACGTCTGGGTGAGTAATGGTACTCTGAGCCCAGAGAGAAGGCTGGGGGAGGAGCAGTTTTGGAGGATTCAGATGGAGATGATGAGCTAACGTTGGGCCATGATGGTTTTGAGATTCTTGTAGGACATCCAAGCAGCGTTGGATGTGTGTTCTCCAGCCAGGTCTGGGAGACAGGTACAGAACCAGGAGCCATCAGAATATGATGGGGAAAGAAGCCACAGGGCTAGTTAAGATCACGACTGCGTGCATGAGAAGAGGCTTTTGGGTGAAATCCAACCTTCAAAGAGCAAGCAGAAGACAAGAGTACTGGGAAGGACTCGCCGGTGATTTCAGGCTAATGTGAATCGATTGCCAAAACAGTCAAATGTTTCCTAGTATAAATGTGAAAATAACGAAACTGAGATGATTTTTCTAATTTTATGTGGCTACAGTACAGATAAATGTCATATTTCAAAACCGAATGTACAGCTAGGTATGGTAGCTCATGTCTGCTATCCCAGCACTCGGGAGGCTGAGGCAAGAAGACTCCTGGCAGGTGAAAGCCAGCCCGAGCAACTGAGAGACCGTTCTAAAACAAAACAACAACAACAAACCCTATACTTATTAGGTTTACTCCAAAAGAAATGCAGTACCAGTAATTCTCCAGGAGAAATGCCAATCAAAATACAATCAGGGCCAGGGGTGGTGTACATATGTAATCTCAGCCCTTGGGAGACAAAGGCAGGCAGATCTCTACAAATTCCAGGCCAGTCTAATACACTTAAAAAAAGGAAAGGAAGGAAGAGCGAAAGAGAGAGAGAGAGAGAGAGAGAGAGAGAGAGAGAGAAGCCAGGCGTTGATGGTGCACGCCTTTAATTCCAGCACTCAAGAGTCAGAGGTAGGTGGATCTCTGTGAGTTCGAAAGCAACCTGGTCTACAGAGCGAGTTCCAGGACAGGCTCCAAAGCTACACAGAAAACCCTTTCTTGGAAAAAAAAGAAAGAAAGGAAGAAAGAAAGAAAGAAAGAAAGGAAGAAAGAAAGAAAGAAAGAAAGAAAGAAAATAGAAAGGAAGGAAGGAAGGAAGGAAAAGGATAGGGAAAATACAAATAAAAATAAACTTTGGAGAATAATTTTAATAAAATAATAACTTCCAACCAATAAAATAAACTTAAAATGGAGTTTGTCCCCTTAAGCCATGTCCTAACATGAATTTTCTTCCTGAAAAAACAGAGACGTTATCCAGAGACTTGCAAATGCCTAAAGAGTATTGCTTAGAAGGAAGCATGCTTCATGTGCCTACAGCTAAGCCATCTGTTGATGTCCACGTCTGCAATTGACAATGCCTACAACTCAGAAATCCTTCTTAATGACCCCAGTGATCAATTCAGGGTTTTGCCAAAGACGCTGGTAAAAAGCCAAGAAAAATATTGAGCGAAATGTTTTATTCAAACACAAACTAATACAAACAAGGTCTCATCAGTCCCAACAGTAGACGGTGAGGGTCAAAATGACTGGACGCTGTAGTTACTCAGCTCTCTGCTTACTTTCAAACAGAGTCATCAACAGTATGACTGAGGAGTGATTTAATCTGTTTATCTTTTAAGACTTTTCCTAAAAATAAAGTCATACATAAGGAAAAAAAAATCACTTTTGTAGTTCAAGTCTCAATCTCAATTTTTGTCTTATACAAAATATTGTTCAAACTTGGCACAGTAGTGCACACCTTTAATCCTAGCATTCTGAATGCAGAATGTGAGTTCAAGACCAGCCTTGTCTACATAGTGAGACCCTGTCTCAAAAATAAATTAATAAGCCGGGTGTGGTTAGCACACGCCTTTAACCCCAGCACTCAGGAGAGAGAGGCAGGCAGATCTGAGTTCAAGGACAGCCTAGTCTACAGAGAGTTCCAGGACAGCCAGGGCTACGCAGAGAAACCCTGTCTCAAAATAACAACAACAATAATAATAATAATAATAATAATAATAATAAATAATTGAAAAGTAATAAAAATTTTATAAAGTGTCCAAAAGTATAAGTAAAAACATACTTTACAATAACCTCAGCAACAAGTGTCAGGAAGAAAGAAGAGCTGTGATCCTTGAGGACAAGTTCCAGGTTAGCTACCTTGCAAAGACAGACTTTAAGCTCCATTCACTAAAATAAGTTCCAGATACTCAAAGAACCAAATCTAAGGGAAAATGATTATCTGTCCTTTAAAAGAAGGACAGAGTTTTAAAAACTAGAAAATTAGAAGCCAGGTGTGGAGGTGCAAACCTTCAAACCTTTAATCACAGTCTGGGGAGGTAGAGACAGGCAGAGCTCTGTGAGTTTGAGGCCAGCCTGGTCTACATGGTAAGTTCTAGGACAGTCAGGGCTGCATAGAAAGATGATGACTCAAAAAATAAAATAAAGTAAAATAAAAATCATGGCTGGAAAGATGGCTCAGTGGTTAAGAGCACTTACTTTCTTCAAGAGGACCCAGGTTCAATTTTAAGCAGGCACATAGTTGCCCACAACCATTCATAACTCCAGTTCCAGAAATCTGATCCCCTCTTCTGACCTCTGAAGGCACCAGGCACGAACATGTTGCACTGACATACATGTAGACAAAACACCCATACACATAAAATAAAATAAAATAAAACAAAGAAGTCACACACACACACACACACACACACACACACACACACACACACACACACGAGGGAAAGGTGTGGCTTAGAACACTAATGACCCAAGAAGAAGCAAAAACATGAAAAAAAAAAAAAAGTTAGACTTCAGTAACATTCAAAGGAACACAAATTAAAACAATGTAACACTTTCAGCCTCAGATTAGCACAGATTTTCTTAAATGACAACCATGTATTAGGGCAAAATTAATGTGAGAAAACTAAACACCCTCCTACACTTCTGGCTTAGGGTGTGATCTGGTACACCCCGTCTAAAACTTAATTAGCATCTGATAATGAGCCATAAAATATCACACCCTTTGATGTGGTGATCCATTTCTAGGAACCCTGAGATGGCCAAAATGTGTTCACTATTAAAAAATATGGCTAATATCAAAAACTTTGAAGGAAATGTAAAGTAACAACAATTTGGAATTATTTCATCAGAAGATGAACAGCATAATGCTATCAAAACCTGTCTTCACAGCTGGCCATAGTGGTGTATATCTTTAATCTTAGCACTTGAAAGACAGAGGCAGTTGAGTCTCTGTGAGTTCAAGGCCAGCCTGATCTACTTAGTGAGTTCCAGGACAGCCAGAGCTACATAGTAAGACCCATGTATAAATCTAATTGAATAATTACTTTTAAAAATGTCTTCTCAAAGTCTTTTCAGAGGCTGGAGATATAGCTGAGTAGATAGAGGGCTTGCCTGGCACGCAAAGCCTGGGTTCTACCACTTGTGTAGCTAAGGCACACATACCTATCATTCCAGCCTTCTAGGACAGGAGGGTCAGACTCACCTTTGGCTTCTTGGAGAGTTTGAGACTAGTCTGAACTACATGTTACTTTGTCTCAAAATGTCAACAAAAAAAAGTATTTTTAAATCCTACAGAAAGTTCTATCAAGTCATGTTACATGGCAAAGTTCAAAACTGTATTCGTGCTGGAAATGAAGTAACTTAAATGTTACAATGCGCACCTAAGATTTCTATTCTGTTCCTGCCTGTTCTGCACTGTCATGAGGAAACAGCTGGCTCTCTCTGAATTTGGAGAGCCTATGTGGGGCAGCCTCCCCTAAAATATGGGTTATGTAGTACAAAGGTAATCTGTTCTCTATGCCAATGAATTCGTCGTTCTCCAAAAGAAGTTGGGCGCGGTCCATGCTTGAGCAATTGCAGGTGGCTCCCTCAGAGGTGGCAAAGGAAGGAAGTGGGAAAACAGCCATTCCCCTGAAGAACAGGGGCCAACTAAACGTGTGCACGTGTATGCGGGCGGGTGAACACATTTTAAAGGCTAGAAAGGCGCAGCTCCAAATACTGGCAGTGGTTTTCTAAGTGGAGATACGCTAGAAGTGCATTAAGTGATAGCTTCGAGACACATGGGGCCACTTACACCAAATTAAATTCAATTGAATTTAAGATTCCCTCATTCCACTGCAGTAGTCACATTTCAAGGGCTTATTAGCCAAGGTAGCAAGTGGCTACCAAATCGGACAAAGATCTGGGTCGTTTTAGTTGCCACATAAAGATAATTTGGACAGTGCTATTCTAAATCATGCTTTTTAAAACGCTCTGTCCAAATGTATTATATTACAATATGCATTGCAACAATTCCTCTTACAAACAGGGTGCGGGGAGGGGGTTATAAGAGAAGAAAACAGGATCCAAAGAAAAAAAACAATCACACTACAGGTGCAGAGGCCACAATCTCTAGAGAGGAGCCTGGGGAAATGATATCCTGCGGGGACAGGTAGCAGTCAGGGACACAGGCACCCAGGGACCATCAGGAAAGGCTACGAGGAGACGAGAGTGTAGTAGGCATTCCAAGGGAAGGAAAGACACAGACACTCAGCAGCAAGGGTGGGGAAGGAGGTTGTTAGAGCAAGAATCATGGGTTCTTGTCCCTCCCCACTCACCAGCCATTACAGCTGCTGACCGTTGAGCTGGCTCAAAAGGACATTTCCCCCGGCCACTCTCAAGTCTTTCAACCTGCTGGAAACTGGACACATCCTACAGACCAGAAGGGGAGGGGGCGGGGTTTAGGGTTTATGGGGGAAGGTTCGTGGTGAGAATTAAACACAAGATCAAATGGAGGAAAAGCCCATTCCCATTCAGCTCCCACTTCCCGGCTCCCATCCCCACATTCAAGCGTCCTGGTTCCTCTGCCCATTCATTTCCTTTCTCTGCTTTACTCCTCTTTGCCCTCAGACCCACCCACCCCTTCCTCACGAAAGCATATCTAGCACAGCCCTAGAAATGCCACGAGGCTAGACACAGCTCTGTGCCCTGACATTCCGGCATCTGTAACTGCCAGGATGTGTTACAGCCAAAGAGAAGCAGACAGCCTTTGGAGGGCTGGAGCTCTGAGGAAGGGCAAGGAAAGGCTCAGCTGAAGCCCGGAGCTTAAAGAAAACAAAGTATCAATTCCCTCAGCTCCCACCCAAGGATGGAGAAAGGGCTGGTTTCCGCATCCCAGAAGAGGAGGAAACTATGAAGCAGGTGAAGAATGACCCAAAGCCCGGATGATAGTCCGAGGGCTTGTTAGGCAAGTATCTTCTTCTCTCAGGGGCCTCCAGAGAGGTGAAGGTGACAGACAGAAGACTCCCACCAGGGCCAGTCACAAGTGAGCTTACTCTAACATACAGCACTAAGAGCAAGATGACACCTTAAAGTAGAAGTGAAGCATGGTCCCACACTAGAACTCAGAGGAACAGTACTGTAGTTCATTTCAAATCAGAGTCATGACATGGACACGCCAGGAACACGCTCTCTCTAGCTAGGAAACTCAAGTAGACATCCGCTGCGGCTGCTGCTTAACTGTTCTGATGCTGGTCAGAGGTGAGAAATAAAGACGTATCCTCTGAACTTAAGGCTGGGCCATGCCCTGTGCTCCTCTCTCTGCTGCAAGGTTTGACTTTGCTGATACAATTCTTAAAGGAAGCCTGTAAATCTGGTGGCCTCTCCAAAAGGAGACACTGGATCAAAGGAGCCTTTTGGAATGGAGGACCCCACAGAAGCACCCTCCAGTGTGTGGTAACGAGGACATCCTTGTCAGGGGAGAAAGATAGATCTGTGACCACCACGGCGCTCCAGCCCCCTAGAAGTGCAGTTAGCACCTTCAGTGGCCCACACTTTTCTCTCGCCTGAGCTACTCCTTATCGCGGTTAAATAAGGAAACCCATACTTCTTACAACTCCTTCCTGCGCTGAACAGATCCACCCCGATTTACCTCCATACTTACATCACTCTTTCAGAATCATGCACACATGTGCACAGGCACACGTCCCTTCATTGCCTAGAGTACAAACTCTAACCCAACCTACTTATTTTCTACTACTTCTTAAAATGATCTTTGTTCCAAACAAATCACCCATTATTCCTGAAAAACAAACTGTTTTCCCATCTCTGTGCCTAAAACTGCCCCCTTTCTTTTCACCAAAGACCAAAAAGATGGTCCTTTTCCTGGTCGCCATCCACTTGAACCTCTATGTATCATTTGGCCTGTTTAATTCCTTTCCTTGGCTCTTGGATTCTGTCTTCCCAGAGTCCTTCTTCCTACCTGATATTTGTTTCTCTGGCACCTTCTTTTTTCTAGCCCCGCCGTGCACATCCTTAGGATCTCTCCATAGTCTTTCTAACATCATCAACGATCCCATTCAGTCCTGTTTGCAGCCTTTCTGTTTGACCCACTGGTCAAACCCTCTAAGACTGATGCCCTCCAATGAGCCCCACGCCCTCCAAATCTGAGTCCACTGACTACTGGGCTTTCTCACAAAGTTTGGCTGTCAGCTTCTTAAAACTCAACATGTCAAGACTAGCTCCCTCCCAGTTTTCCCCAGTTCCATCATCAAACCACCTAACCTTCTAACCTTTGAGAATGTGAGCCACCCATTAACAAGCGGGTTCTGATTATCCTCTGTTCAAAACGACCTTGAACTGGGCTTTGAAGATGGAAGATCGTCTTAACGATTTTCTCTGTTTGCATGTGGAGATTCTTCATTACATCCTAGCCAAGTCAGTAGACAGTCTCTCACTAACGACTGTGATGAAGGCATATTCCTAAAGCTTAATTTAGGGATGGATAGGAAGGCTCTCCCTGAGCAGTGAAATTGGACCCTTTGGCCTTGAGAAAAAAAATACAAGACATATAAAGGACCCAAGATGCATGAACCATGTTAGATAGAAGAGCTAGAAGGCAGATGAAGCCCCCTGGGTTGCAGGCGGGCCACACAGACAGGGTTGTAGGACATATCTAGACTAACTCAGGTCAATTATTGGCTCTGCCTCTGCTAGCTATATAATCTTAGCCATGGTATCTGATTTCTCTGAATATCAGCTCCCTTGCTTATAAAATAGAAATAAATTATACTTGAATACCATGATACGATAAAATTAAAACTTAATTGTGAGCCTTTAACAGAGTGAATGGCCATTGCTTTTCTGTTAATCACTATCAAAGCCTAATACTTTTCTCTATTAATGGCTGGAATTCTCTCAACAAGTCACATTAAAATACTTTCTTCCAACATGCAATGGAAGCTAGAACTGAAAGACAGCACTCCACTGTTAACACAGGTAGAGCCAGGACTTATAAGAACCTTCATTTCTCCACGATCGTCAATGAGTAGGTTGTATCTAGATCAAAGCTTGGGGGCATGGGAGGTTCCATGCTGCAGACGAAGCTTGGAGGGCTAACAGCTCTAACCTCTCCCTCCAGAGAATGCTTTTAGATGGATGGCGTCAGAGGAAACCCTGAACCAGTGAGATGAACCAGTGGAGCACAGAACCCTGGCTTCACCCGTCATTGCCAACATCACTCAAGAATGGATAGGGGGTTCATGTCACACTAACTGCCCCAGGCACAGCCAGAACTTGTTCCACCTAGGTACTTTGGCTCGGGTCCTAACTCAGAGATCCCAAGAGGAAAGGAAAGCCCAAGAAGATGAGCTGGGTTGACCATACTATGCACTAATCCCTGACTCTGACATTCATTCATCTGGGATCCCTATGCCTGAGCAGACTCGGAAAAATAGCTCTGCTACCTTGCAGGCCTGGTGGTGAGTAACTAACTGTAAATATTGATTGCTGGGAGACAGAAGTTTTCAAATATCATCCAGAGCCGCAAGCCTTCCCAGACTGATAGGATCACCCAGACTCTTGTAAAGAGCGTAAGAAAAGAACTGAATGAGGCCAACTAACCCCAAGGAAAGCCCTGGATGCTGACTGGATCCTTCTGAGCCAGAGACAGGAGGGTGCCCTTGAACAGAGAGAGGTTTGTGGAGATTTACACTGCCTAGGCCCAAGTGGATCACTGTATTCGCCCAGAGACTGCAGAACTCTCGAGTCAGCATCTGCAGTCTGGGGGGGTCAAAGTCAAGAAAGAAACATCCTGCAGTCTGTGTGAGAAGGGTTTTTGACTCACCCCAGGGTTCAGTTCCAAATCTGCTGCCACAAGACCGGTAATGACCACTGTACCCTTCACCGAGAAAGGTCAGCGACTAGACTAGACAACATCAACAATGAATTCATAGCAAGGCTGCCTGGGTTTGAGGGTGGGAAAGTATGAGGCCTTCGCCAACGAACAAGATCCAGAAGAAGGTGTGGTTGACAGAGTGGCTCACCCCAAAGGTAATACTGAGAGCATAGGGTCAGCTGATGCCACATTACACAGCAGTGACATCAGAGGCCATGAGACTCACACCCTGCAGAGAAGAGGGTTGGCAGAGGATGCCGGAGATGACGAGGCACGCTGTGGGAGAAGAGGGATTGGGCTGTCCTGATGAAGGAACAGGCCACAGCACTCAGTGGGCAAAGAAGCCTGAGCGTCTGGCTTCTGACGTACCCTGTGGAGTTGTCCAATGGCCAGGCCAACCGATCTCAGCAACCCTAATTCCATGCACCATCTCACTACAGCCTGTTACACTTAGCATACTTTACCCTCTGCAGACAATCTCCCTTTCCCATTCCCCTGCGAGGGCACCCTCTATGCCCTCCACCCACAATACTTATCCGATATAGTAGCTGTCTTAACCACGCCCAACATGGTCACCTTCCCACCCTCCCCCACCCCACCCCCCCACTCCCCAGTAACTCACACAGCTGCGGGCTCCCTCTCCCTCTGCCCCGCCACTCACAATAACCCCGCACTTCGGGTCGAAAGCGAAGGTGCCACAAGTGAAGAGGTGAGAGGCATTGGCGATGGCGAGGATCTGGATAAAATTGTGGCATTCGTCCTGGGGTCAGAGACGGTTAGAGAGAATCAGACGTCGTGGGTATGAGGAAGGACAGGATCGCGGACAGACAGTTAGAGGAGGCTGTGGGATGGGGGAGTGTGGGTGGCGTGTGGTGGGTGGCAAAGCCCTTGCCCGGACCCTTCGGGAGACCCCACGCCAGGGCTGGGGACCCCCGACACTAAGGGCAGGCTGTGGGCTTACACCCTACCTCTTTCTTGCCTTTCTTCCTGCAGTTCTGTCTGTGAGCCTCGGGCACCGTCCAGTCAATCTAGAAAGAAGAAGAACTCTATCCTCCAGGTCCCCTCCCCCAACCCCCACCCCGGCGCACTGAGGTCCGAGGGGGAAGCGTTGGCTCTACAAATCTCAACAATCTGGAAACTTCCAAGGTTCCTCACTCACTGAACTTCTCTTCAAACTGGAACTGCCCGCCCATTAGTGAGTTACAAAGTCAACTCTGAAATCAAAGGCATGAAGAGACAGGGTCACAGGCAGCCCAGGCTTTGCCTCAAACTCTGTGTAGAGCTGAGGATGACCTTGAACTTCTGATCCTCCTGCCTCTGTCTTCCAGTTCCAGCATCACAGGCAGACACCACCACATAGCCTTTTTTTTTTTCCTTGAGACAGGGCTTCTCTGTGTAGCTTTGGAGGCTGTCCTGGCACTCACTCTGTAGACCAGGCTGGCCTCGAACTCACAGAGATCTGCCTGCCTCCACCTCCCAAAATCTGGGATTAAAGGAGCGTGCCACTGACGCCTGGCTGACCACACAAGACTTTATGAGGCACTGCAGATCAAGTCCAGAGCTCTGTGCACACTAAGCACACTGAGCAAACCCCCAAACCACACCCTTAAAGAAACAGGGTATATCAGAATTTGTCACATATACGGCCGTCAATGCTGGTCTAAAGAAATTTTCCATCAGGACACATTTACACACTTGTGCACTGCGTCAGGGTATACGAGAGCTCTTACTAATACTAAACTCTCCCTGGAAAACCACCATTCTAGTGACCTCTGCCTCCTGCCATTTGAAACGTGCCATTGTACCCCTCCCCCATCATCATGAGTCCCATCACAGCCAAGACAGGTGGGAAGACCGCCCCCCCAATCTCCTCCCTTACTGGCAGGCAAGGACTTTACACCCGCGGTGATGTCCTCTGTGTCTTGTGTCTTCCTCTATTCCTCGCAGTATCGGTCTTCACCATACCCACCACAGCCACTCACTGAAGACCCTCCACCCCCGCAGGCTCCCTCCCACCCCCGCAGGCTCCCTCCACCCCCCCCCGCAGGCTCCCTCCACCCCCGCAGGCTCCCACCACCCCCGCAGGCTCCCACCACCCCCGCAGGCTCCCACATCTTGAGTTATTATGAAACTCTCCCACCCAGAGCCCAGGACATGGTGGCTTTAAATGTATGCTATGGGCTCTGTGGACCCCATAGTGATCTCTCACCCTGCGAGGTCTTTCCCCTGAGAAGGGCAGGGTTAAAGCGAAGATGCTGTCCCGAGCACCGACGTAAAGTGTGTGAGAAGCAGGGTCCACGAGGAGAACAGAATAGTTGTATGTGTGAGGGGCAGCAAACCGGGTGACGTAGGAGTCAGCCTCTGGAAGGAGAGGAGCCATCCCTTCAGAAACATAAGATCCCAAAAGGGGGCGGATTTTTGTTATCTCCCAGGGATTATTTATTTGACAACCAACAAGGATTAAAGAAAGAAAGAAAGAAAGAAAGAAAGAAAGAAAGAAAGAAAGGAAGGAAGGAAGGAAGGACAAAAGAAAGAAAGGAGAAAAGGAAGGGCGGATGGACGGACAGACAGACGGACCTGGACAAGCCAACCATCTTCCTGCCCCCAGGGAAAGACAACTGAGGACCAGTTAGCACATGATCCAGTCAAGCATTCTTTTTCTAGAAAAAGAACACTTTTAAAATAGTGACACCAATATTAAATGTCTCTTCTACTCCCAACAGTGTGATATAAAACATTAAATGACCTATAGAAAGTACTAGTACTTCCTGATAAGCCTCATTTTTTTTTTTTTTAGATTAAACTCTCATTATGTAGCCCAAGCTGGCCTTTAAAACACACCCACCTCAGCTTCCTGCCCGCAGGGATTAAAGTGCAGCACCACAGCACATTTGGAGTGCATCTTCTCTCTCACCCTATACCCTTGGCTTCCCCTTACCCCTTCCACCCAAACGAGGATGGGGCGAATGTGTGTGAACTAGACCAGCCTGCATTTGACATGGTTCTCCAGCTTACCAGCTGTGTGCACTCACATAGCCCTCTCAGAGCCTCACCTTCCTTCCTCATTTGTAAACGCCACCATCCACCATCAGGGAGTGTTAGGAGATGAAGACAGGTAACAAGTGGGCATGCCGTCCATCTCATAAATGGTCGCATGCTCCCTCCCTCCCTCCCTCCCTCCTTCCCTGCTCAGACACAAACTAAACCATTATCAGCATCCAAAAACTCTTTGCTATTTAAAGTTCAGTAACAACTTGGTGTGAATCCACCTTTGCTCAATGTCTGGTTCTGGGGGCCCGAGTTCTCATCGGCTCAGATGCCCTCAAGAGAGTAGATGTGACCCCACCCATCCCATCCTTCCACAGCCACACCCACCTCTGATTTCTAGTCTGACATTTAGGATAATCCCTGAATTGTCAAAACTCCTTTCGTGTTACCTGCTCTGCTTTGTCCAGCCATCTAGGCCTCTCTGGATTCCTGGGCACCAATGAAGACTGGCATCCACAACTCTCTTTGTGGGGTATGGGTTCGCTACAAACTGAAACTCCAGGGGCTCTGATCCCAACTTTGCCTTCTGGACTCACAGTGTCCTTAGATATCATTTGGCCTATGCATAAAGCTTTAAGTTACTGGGACCCAATTGTGAGTTTTGGCTTTCATTGAGATGAAAACAAGCCCCATACCCATCCACCTCAGCAGAGAATCTAAACTGTGAATGTCATTTGAAACTTTATAGCATCCCTGATTTCTCCATGTCTTCATAAAGGTCCTCAGCCCTAGCCTCTGTTTTTAATATATAACTTTTAGGTTTCTTTTAATAACAATTATTATTACATGTATCTTTGTCTGTATATATGGTCGAACAGGTAACCACAGAGTCCTGTTCTCTTGGAGCTGGAATTGCAGGTGGTTGTATGCCATCCGATATGGGTGCTGGGAATAGAACTCAGATCTCCTGGAAAGTCGGCCAAACGCCAAGCCAACTCCCTGCCCCTTCCCTGTTTTTTATGAAGACCTTTGAATGGACTCATTGAAGTGTTTTCTAGCATTCAAACTAGGGAATGGGTAGAGGGAGCACGGAACGTCCAGGAAATTAAAGTCAAGTGAGTTGGTAGCAGAAGGATGGGAAGGATAAAGCCAGAGATGCCAGCCTTATAGGAAGTGGGTGGAAAGATCTGGATCTGGATGGTGGTGGGAGGATGGTTGAAAGGACAACCGGGAAATGAAGTTGAAAACACTGAAATGCACGAAATGCATGGTCAGGGATCAAGGTGGGTACCTCGACTTGAATGGGAGGGAGGGGGAGGGGAGAGAGAGGGAAGGGGGGAAATAAAGGATAGGAAATTGCACGGACTTGGAAATGAAGTGTTGGGTGTGGGTGTATGTGCTGGAAACAGGAATAAAGGGCTGAAGCGGACAACCTTGGGCAAACCCCAGGCGCTCCCTGGGCTACAGAATCCAGGTCTGCAGGATGAGGGGCTGCACCCTGTGGAAAAAAAAGGAGGGCTCCGGAAGCACTGTGGTTGTGTCTTGAGGGCTCAGGTGCGAGGCCAGGTTGGGGATAGGATAGGGTGGGGTGGGCTGGGATGAGATGGGGATGCACAGGGTAGAGGGGTGTGCACCGTGGGGCCCTAGCTGCTGCCGCCGGGGTTAGCAGGGCAGAGGCGTGTGGGCACCTGCTGGCAAGGGCTGGGCTCCGTGCAAAGGGCTGAGGACAGGGGTCCCTGCATCTTACCAGAGATGGGCAGCGACGTTCTGGGCACGGAGCGGGGCACGCGGCCGCACACCGGGGCGCTCAGCATCGCCAGCAGCAGCAGTAGAGACGGTGGCGGAGGGAAGGGCGAGACCGGAGGCGGCCGGGGGCCCGGGCGGGGCCGCTCGGCCCTGGCCAGCATCTCTGGCTCCGCCTGATACCGGGTGGGGCGCGTCTGTACGCCTCTGATCAGTACCGCTACAGCTCGGGCCTCGGCCCCTCTCGGGTCCCCTCGGCTGAGCTCGGCCTGCAGCGGAGAGATGAAACGCAAGCTGACTCCACCCCCTCACGAAAGAGCCAATGGAGAACGTGTTTCTTCCTATAACCAATCAAGATTGAGTGGAGGAGGGATGAGGAAGAGAGGCCCAACCCAGGTGGAGGCGGAGCTAGGTCAGGTGCAGGTGTGAGTTTCTTCCTCAGAAGAATGGGGATGTCCCTAGGCCTGGAGGCCCTGCAAATTTGTTGCAGCCGCTCAAATGCCCAAATATTCATACCCGTGCTACTAGGAATATGTATGTAATACTATGGAAAACATGTGGGTAAATGGGAGCATGCACCACAGTTTAAAGACACACAAACACAAGGAAAGATAGGGTTGTAAGGGCTGGAAAGATGGCTCCTCCGGGGGTGAAGTCTGAGTTTGAATTCTCCCCTCCCCTTTGTCCCTGCCACATGGGAAGTAGAGAATCCACTCGTTCAGGTTGCCCCCTGACGTCCTTATGCGTGCCATGGTACCAGTGCCCCTACATGTTCACAGAATAAATAGATTAAAATGAAATATGTATTACATTATATGTAAATAAGTATATGCGAGTATATTGGTTATTTTTCTCTTCGCTGAATTCCAACTTAAGGAAGGGTTTGTTTTGGGCCACAGTTGGAGGGTATATTAGTCCACTATAATGAAGAAGACATACTGGCAAAAAAAAAAAAAGCAAGGAGGTCACATTTCTCATTCCCCGATGTCATCCCAGGTAATTAGGTTCGGCCTTCCTACCTCAACCAAATCTAATAACTCCCCCCTCACAGAAACGTCCCGAGGTTAGTGTCAGAGCGGTTCTAGATTCTGTCAAGTAGACGTTATTAACCATCACACTGCAAACTCGGGCTGGAGAGACGGCTCAGTGGTTACGAGCTTTTGTTGCTCTTACAGAGGACCTGGGTTTGGTTTCCAGCACCCACATGGTGGTTCATAACTCCCGTCCAGGGCCCCCAGAAGCACTGCGTGTACAGGTTACACCGCATACAAGCAGGCAAACACCCACACACATGAAATGAAATTAAAAATCTCACTACGGTGACCACAAAGTGTGCTGACCAGAATCAGGTGCAGCCAATGGAGGGGCCTGGGGTGGCCGACCCCACAGCCACGCTCTGCACATAATGCCTCCTCCCTCCCAGGCAGCTTTTAAGGAGCAGTAGCTGTGTTTGGGGGCAGGACTTTGAGATATAGAGTAAATTCCTCCTGTCCCAGAGGGAACTTCTACTTATCCTGTGTTTTACGTACTTGATTTCATTTCTTCTCCTGGGCATCCTGGGAGGGAGACCTGAAACAGAAATTAACATCCCCATGTTACTCTATCGGGAAACTATAATTGGGATTTGAAGTCTTCAACGCAGAGCTTATGGGCTTCACACACCGGCAGTTTTTAGCTTTTTAAACGCCTGCCCACTTAGGTATGTCTACAAGCCTACAAGCTCTTTACCAACCATCACTGCCATATTGAAAAAGAGAACTTAGCTGGTAAGGGGGGGAAAAAAAGGAAAAATTAAAAAGTATAGGTTTTAGTATGAGCTTATTATGCAATTTGTATGATTACCGAATAGCACATTTAAATTCAGCAGTTTTAATACATTTAACTTGATATGATGCTTCGAGTTACTTAAATGGCATACAATTACAAAAAGACTTAGCTATACTTAGTTTCCCAATAAAGCTTTTTAAAATTCCCACATGCGTCATAATAAACATAGACGATGGTCTAGTTAAGAGGTTTGAGAGATGGCTCAGTGGTCAAGAAAATTCGCTGTTCTTCCAAAGGACCTGGTTCGCTGCATCCATGTTAAGCAGCTCACAACTGCCTGTAACTCCAGCTCTAAGGGATCCCACATGTCTTCTGGCCTCTGCTACCACGTATGTATATATGACATTTGCTCATACATACACATAGATAACTTAAAAGGAGAGAGAAAGAACTTAGGTTCCAAATAATTTGGGTGTAAACACCTATCAACTTACTAAGGGCTAACCAAATAACTCACAACAAATTTGTGACATCATCTAATTATGAATAATTACTAAGAATTTATAAAAATTACATAATTATTGTGGTGGCTTGTATGAGAAATGTCCCCCATAGGCTCGTGTGTCTGAACACTTTGTTCCCAGTTTGTGGCATCATTTAGGGAGGTTATTGAAGCTGGAGGAGGCACTTTCTAGTGGAGGAAGTATGTCCCTGGGCGTGGGCTTTGGGAATTTACAGCCTCACTCCATGCTGCCCTCTCTGTTTCCTCCACCATTATAGATTCTCCCTTTGGAAACAAGAGCCAAAATAAACTCTCCCGTAAGTCACTTTCAGCCATGGTATTTTATCACAAGAACAAAGAGTGACTAATATAAGTATAAATCAAGAACAACAGGAAACAGAGGCCGGCTGGATGCACCACTACTGCCCATTATAAAACGGCAGGATTTTATTCCACTCGTGGTGTGCACACAATCGGTGTTTTACAAACCAACGTCACATCCCACAGTGACTGGATAACATACCCGGCCATCCAGAAATGCACTGGCCTGTTTTGGTACGCTAGTGTTAATGCCTAACGGCTGAGTTGGGATGATGAGTCAGCAGCAGCCCTTAGTCACCTGTAGAATGGAAGTCTGGGATGGCATTGCCTGTGGTTTGTGAGCAATGGGGACTTGCTTTGTGTTTATTAACTCAAGCCGAAGACTATTTCGGGTCATCATATGCTGTTCTGTCTCCTAAGGAGGCCTTTGTGTTAGTAAGCATTTGCTTTCTACAAAGAAATCTGGAACAAACCCTGACCAACCCTCTAGTCCTGGTCACATTTCTATTGGGCGCACATTTCATGTTGGAAGACAATTGTGCCTGTCATGGATTTCTTCTAGCAGCCTCATTTCTTTTCTATGATCAAGACTTCAATCAGCCCAGTTCTAGATCATGACATTTGTGGGACTGGAGACTTGGCTCAGTGGCTAGGAACGCTTGTTCTTGCAAAGGACCCAGGTTCCGTTTACAGCACCCACGCGAAGGCTCACCGCTTCCTCGGGCACCAGGAATGCCATGTGGTTGGTGCATATCATACATGCAAGTGAGAACATCCATACAGACAAAACAAACTGAAGCTAAAAATAAATAAATAAAAAATTTTAAAAGAGAAGGGAAAAATGATCTTTGTGAATTCGGGAGTTGAATAGTAATATTTGGTGTGTTCATTTCTCTCTCCCAGGGTTGACAGAGTAAGAAGCACACTTCAATTATGCCATCTGTCATCATGAATTCTTTACCTGTACGAACACTTCCAAATATAATTGCTTATGTCCACGGATGCTTCTGACATTTTGATGTATATGTCCATAAGTTTGCACAGAGCTTTACTAATCTTTTCCCTTTTTCCCAGGTCTCATCACCTCATGTCTACCTCTATGTCTTTTGAGGACTGGGTTAGGTTTCAGTCCTTGGCCATCCATCTCATTTGCTTCCTTCATGGTGTCGCTAATGTTACTCCATGGTGTCACTAATGTTACTCCATGGTGTCACTAATGTTACTCTATGGTGTCACTAATGTTACTCCATGTTGTTACTAATGTTACTCCATGGTGTTAGTACCCAAAAGAAAGCAAAAAACTTTAAAAATTGGAGAAAACAAGCATTTGCTTTTGTCTTGAGACACCACAGCCAAAGCTACCCTTATGAAAGGAAGCATTTAACTGGGGGCTTGCCTGACGTTTCAGATGCCTAGTCCGTTGCCATTCTGGGCATGGAGCATGGCAGCATGCAGGTACACTTTGCAGCAGTAGCTGAGAGCAGAGAGCCTAGGCCTGGCTGGGGCTTCTGAAACCTCAAAGCCCACCCACCCCCCAAGTGACACACTTCCTCCCACAAGGCCACACCTCCTCCTAATCCCTCCAAACCCTTTCAAATACTCACTCCCTAAGCATCCTAATATGAGCCTCTGGGGGCCATTGTTATTCAGTCCACCACAGCTTTGATGATCCATTCGGTATTATTAATATCTTGAGCCTTACTTCCTCACAAAAATACTCATACCTCTTATTCCTTCTCAGATTTTAGCACAGTTTGCATAGTTTCTTCTGCTCTTAGTTTTCTTGACGTTAATACTGTCACTCCTCAGCCAATCTAGCCAACATTCAGCCCTCTCCTTCCTTAAACATTTCTTTCTTTATTTTATTATTTTATGTGTTTTGCCTGCATGTATATTGTATACCTGCACTTGCCTGGTACCCAGTGAAACCAGAAGATCCCCCGGAACTGGAGTTACAGACAGTTGTGAGCTGCCATATGGGTGCTGACAATCAAACCCCAGGTCCTCTGGGAGAGCAGCCAGTGCTCCTAACCGCTAGCCATATCTCCATCCCCTCTACTACACCCTCCAAGTTCAACAGTTAGCGGCTTTGGAGAATGACAGTTGGTTGTAGTGGAAAGAGTTCGGAATTATTCAGAGTTAGAATGAACTGGTTAAGGTACCAGTTTTTGTCATTCTACAAGCCTAGAAAAACTATTAATCTTAGCTACTCAAAGTATGGTCTGAGGACCAGCAGCATTGGGTGTTCCTAGAGAACTTACAGTGTTTCAGACCTGCTGGATCAGAGTATGCATGTTAGTGGAGAGGCCCATTACGTAGCTCTTCTGGAGAAAAGAAACTCAGGTTCTGTATATGTAAAGTATGGGTGATACGTGCTGCATTTATTAACTTTCTTGCGAATATCTCATATGCTATGTTTTCACGTGTTTATTCTGGCTGACTCCTCCCATTAGCATATAAACTTTGTAGTAAGGTTATAGGTTTTATTGTTGTTGTTCCATATCTTTCATGTCTAGCACAGAACCTGCATAGAGTAAACTTCTTATTGTTTTGTTTGTTTCTTTTGTTTTTCAAGACAGGGTTTCTCTGAAGTTTTGGGACCTGTCCTAGAACTCCCTCAGTAGACCAGGCTGGCCTCGAACTCACAGAGATCCTCCTGCCTCTGCCTCAGAGCGCTGGGCTCA